GTGTGGAAATGATTGCCAATTTGCCATAAAGCTAATATAAGAAGAGAAATAAACAAAAATTGTAGATGAGACGAATAAAATCGTGTGTGTGTTTTGGGTTGATGGAAAATATAAATTGTTCAACCAACTCATAATTGGTTAAGGTTGGTTAGAGATGGTCAACCATTGATTTTGTTTCTATTTGTCTCAGCCAGTTACGCACTTACACAAACAACAAAAGATATTAGTAGTTCACATAAACCTTGGTTTTGGTAGTTGTGAACTATATAACATATTTGAATATTATAAAAAAAACTTCAGAAATTTTCCGGATAATATTTTGGTGTGTTTTATGTTTCTATATATAAATACGAAATTATTTGAGTATGATAGTGTGTAAATTTAAAATTCCCAAAGTTTTTGAAATTCCATTTCAACACATCAAACAAAATGCAATTATTTGGGCTTCAATGGGCCTTCAAATAACATAGGAAAGTCAGAGATATGGGCCTTTCTTTCCAATGGACCTAATCTCAAGAGTGACGATCCACTTAAGATGATTAATCAAAATCAATCGCAACATTATCTTAGCGGATTAGAGAAATATTATGACTTTGAGAAGAATAAAATTCATTAACATTAATTAATGAATGACTCAATTTTCTGACCATAGTTTATACAATTCTTCCATGGGAGGCATCTCTTTGAAAAATCTATCAAACTCCGTCGTCGTCCCCACTCCTCCTCCTTCGCCGCCGTAGCGCCGCCTGGTATCTTCACCGGTTTTACTACCTTCACCGTGACGATGACCGTCGGAAGCGGAAGGAGAGTCGAAAGGACCGGCGGCGACGATGGCGTCTTTACCGGTGAGTTCTTGAACAACAGTCTTGAAGCTACGAGCATCCGTTTCAACGTACTGTGTGTTTATGAACACAACTTTCATTGGCTCCGATTTCACTTCCCCTCTTCCAGACATTCTTATTAAATCTTTTCGATTTAAGAAACAGAAAAAGATCTGAGAGATTATTTTGGTCTTT